CCACATACGCTAGATAACCTGCACACCCGTACTGAATGTACTGTTGAGCCCTGGCAGTTGAACAAAACCCTGATCCTACTCTGGTGCCCTCACTATATACAATCAGTTCTCCCCCACTTAGGGTTCGAACTACCACTCGCTGGTCCTCGCAATCAATCATAGCACCGAACCGACTGAGCCAATCCATGCCCACAATCATGCACACCTTCCCCATGGGATCAGAATCAAATCTATCGGAAAGGACACCCCGAAAATCTCCAAGTGACACCCTCGATAAACTGAAGAAGTAGAAAGCCCATGCTCATTGGTGATAGACACTCGCAATGGTCACTCTAACTCGCCCACTGGCGCACTGAACTTCCTACTAAAAGACTGGGATACGAAGGACTGACTCGCCCCCGAGTCAAATAATACCAAAGCAGGAAAAGAGTTTACTATAAACGTACCTAATCACAGGTACAACAAATAAGCATACAAAAAATGTAGAAAACGAGATAAAGGATAAAAACATACCAGCAACCACTTCTAGTGCTGCTCTGGCCTCCTCAGATGTAAGCTGGAAAGCACGACCCTGAGCCTTCGGAGGCTCTTCCCTGACTGATCTCCCATCCGTGATCATTAAAGTAGTTGGCATTGGAGCCTGCGCCGGTTTGGTGATGAGTAACGGGCAGTTGGCCTTCAAATAGCCAACCTGATCACAATGGTAACATAACTTCATACTTGGTATCGGAGCGTCCTGGCGGCAATCCTTCGCATAGTGCCCCTCCTTGCCACACCGGTGGCACCCACTACTGGCTCGACAAATCCTGGAATGAACCCTGCCGCACTTTCCATAAGAGCGGCTCTGATGACTCCCAGACCTCAAATCAGTGGTCCTAGACCACTTCGGCGCCGGCTGTGACTGTGCCAGGGCTGACCGTTGCTCCCTCAGTTGCAGCTCAATCTCTAACTCCCATCGTCTGGCGGCCTCCTCTAACTCCAGAAGAGTATCACATCGTTGGGTAGATACAAACTGTTGGATATCAGTCTTGAGCATACTCAGATAACGGGTCATCTGAGACTGCTCGGAAGCAAAATTTGGGCAGAACATCGCCCACTCATTGAACATACGGGTGATCTCCGTCACTGACTCCCCATCCTGTCTCAAACTCAGAAACTCCTGTGCCAACCGCTCGCGCTCAACCCGCAGAATGTAAGGGGCGCGGAACATATCCCTGAACTGCTCCTAAGTAACAGTAGCTCTCTGATCATTAGCGTATGACCCAGTCGCAAGTCTCCACCAATCCTTGACCCCGGACCTAAGTAAGTTCAGAGCACACCTAACCTTCTGGTCAGTTGGACACGAGCAGGTGAAGAAACACCCCTCCACATCTGAAATCCATCTCATAGCCTTGATGGGATCCTGCGTCCCATCAAAATTAGGGGGCTTCGTGTTATCGAATTCCATGTAATGAAAACCTCTACCAACTCCTCCCCCTACCGCTGATACAGCTGATGCAGCTGCTGCGGTAACTGTCTTTGCAAGGGCTGCGTAGCGCTCATCAAAATACTCCACCATGGTGTTCTTAATCGACCCGAACATCTCCGGTAACTGAGCCCAAAATGTAGAAGCAACCTCATCATGCAGGATCTCTTGAATCTTTGCATCCAACTCCTCCGTACCCATCTGCACCACCAACTCAGGTGCTGTCGGCCCCTCCTGACCTTTGTCCCCTGATCCTGATCCCGAACCGGATCCAACCAAAAAGCCCCTCGTCATCACCATTCTGAAACATACCACAAGATATCAAACAATCCGTATAAATAACTGGGAGCCAACTCCCTACTATCCCTAGGGATTGTGACTAACTTGACACGTGTATGGGTCCTATGCTTTTAGTAGTACGGGCCCATACTACCTTCCACACCTACCCATATTTTTCTCAAGCATCGTCACAATTCCCTAACTGAATACACAGCATGGCGAGCGCTCAATTCCCACCCTAGAGGAATAACAAATGTCTCATAACTAGCCTCCCGGCCTCACTCAACCCACCTATCCATGAAACTTCCACCAAACTTGTAGCACTAGTGTATGCTAGCTATACATAACATTGGACCCTATAGAATTTTGAATATCCAATCCTACCCTAAGCTTCCAATCAAACAAGAATAGAACATAAGGCCAAATCAAACATTCTCAGGCTATAAGATCTTAATTGTATATAACTGTGATGCATAAACTAAGCAACTACAGTAATGATGTCAATTTCATATAAAAGAAACCCTAGGCGAGCAGGCATCATGAATCAGACAATTCTATCGTGCAATTTCTGAAGATCCCTAGCCTAGTACTAACATGCTGGTCTAACCCATCACAAAATCGAATAACTTGTATGGTATTTTGGGGTCTACTTATTGGCTCCGGCTGATTGTACACCCTACATAATCCTTTATTTATTTTGAAAACCTTTTTGAAAAAAATCATTTTGAAAATCCTTTCCTTGATTTGAGACTGGAGTTGCACGAGTGTTCCTCTAATTCACTCAAACCAAGGCTCTGACACCAACTTGTAACACCCAAAAATTTCAAACCACATTAAACTTTCAAAACATGTCAAGTTCATCAAAACATTAAAACTTTGTTTTCAAAATATTATTTATCAGAGTATTCCTAGAAACATAAACATCATATGAGGAATCGTACGATCAAGCCTTCGCCTTGCAGCGATCCCCTGATGTACCTGAAACAATACACTGAAACTGTAAGCCTGAAAGCTAGTGAGTTACCCCCAAATACCAATACACATACATTCCACATAACCATGTCAGCAACAACATATCATAACTAACTAAACAGAACAACACATAATGGGTCCACAACCCTACAGACTGTAATACCCACGAGCCCACAGTACGAGTCTCCCTCAGCACGTAACTGGAATGCTCACGAGCCCACAATACAGGTCTCCCTTAGCCTGTAACTGGAATGCTCTTAGGGTTTGTTGGCTACCGCACGAAGCAGTACAACCTCAACCCATCCCATATAACATACACATAACATAACCACTGAGCATGTAATAATCATATAACATCACAGGTAGTCCTACAGGTCAACCTAACTGGCATAACCACTAGCATGCAACACAAACTCATACTCAACATCTAACACTGCTAGGATAACATATCCAATGGGCCGGCCTTGGCGCCTTAGAACCCTTAGTATAGTGAGGATAACTCACCTCGCAACTGTCGTCTGAAACTAGGAAGCTCAACTCCCGGATCACTAATACGAACTCCACCACCTATAGTTACAAAAAAAAAAACCTTTTTCATAAATCTCCAAATTACTAGAATACCCTCAGAAGTCAATTGGTCAACCCTTGGTCCAAGTCACAGTCCACAGTCAAAGTTAACAGTCCATGTTGACTCAACTCATCGAGTGCGGTTCACCAACTCGTCGAGTCCTTCCCGAACTCGAGAAGTTGTGAAATCCTTGGTTGGCTCATCGAGTTCCGTATTAACTCTCCGAGTTCATATGTGTCCAAGAATTGGGAGAAACCCTAGCCGACTCACCCAGTCTTCGCACAACTCGCCGAGTTCAAGGCAATCTTCAATGGACTCGTTGAGTTGTTCATCCAACTCGTCGAGTTCATGACCATCATCAACGGGCTCGCCGAGTTGTTCCTCCAACTCACCGAGTCCTTGCAGACCTTCATCCATGCAGACACTTTTTAAGCCATGGCAAGGTTCCAGATTACAAATCTAAGCTTCTAGGGCATGTATATCACGTAAAGTTGCAAACTTTACATGTATTCAAAGCTTTACGACCCTTAAATGTCAAAACTAAGCTTGCAATGAAGTTCCACACTTGAGGGAAGGCTCCTACTAGGCAAGGCTGATGACTTTATGGATCTAGAGGTCAAAGGGAGTCCAGATATGAAGTTACAACTTCAGATCTTAGCTTAACCATGGGGGAGCCTTTCATAAAACCCGTCCGAAGGAGGTTAAAAGAGAGATTAGCTAAAGGAACAGCTTAATACCTTCCAAAGAGTGACAACTGATGAATCTCTTAGCTCCCCACGAGTTCCTAGCCTTGACTTCCTTGTTTCCCCAAGTGTTTCCTTATCCAAAATTCTTCCTCCAAGATTGCACACACAAAAAGAACACACACACACACGATATAGGGTTTGAGAGGGACAAGGGGCAGTAAAGGGGAGGCAGGGGGAGGCCAATGATCCTTTAAAAAGGGTGCAAAACCCCGAGATTAGGGTTTCATCTGTCAGCTCATACTCGTCGAGTCCCTTCTTGGACTTGGCGAGTAGGTCATTAAAATACGTGGACCAACCCGCTGCTACTCGACGAGTAGGGCACTCAACTCATCGAGTAGCCCTTGAAATCAAGAAACTCACACATTAAATCGATACCTGAGAATCAGGGCATTACAATTTATGGACAAGCCATTGAGGAGATACCATTATGCTTGTATGCTACAATGTTAGCTTTAACCTTTAAGTTCTTCATTTGGGTATGAACTATGAATCTGTATCTTTGGTATTGGAATATAAAAGTATTTATTTGCTTCCATGAAATTGTTGGTCTATATACGAGAATGATATTACAAATATAGATATAATAAAGATAAAAAAAAGCACATGGGAGTCGTTTTTAGTGGGATTTCTAACAACCCCTTTAGATATAGAGAACTTTGTTGTTTTGTCCATATATATATATATATATATATATATATATATATATATATATATATATATATATATATATATATATATATATATATAGTTCTAAAAAAATTAACTGAAGAAAGTTGAAAGTTGAGAACTCAGAAGTCATAAGTCTAGCAATGTTATTATTAACCTTCCATATGAATTTATGTTTTGTTAAGATTAAATTTCTATTTGACATTGATTTGGATTCCTTTAATGAAGACTAAGATGTTGTCAACTTTGGGTTTTTGATACATTATTTTCATGGTATTGGTCTGTAATTCATGGGATAATGGAAATGGCAACGGTTTTAGATCCACGATACAAGTTAAAGTTTGTGGAGTTACTTTTGCCTGTGCTTTATGGAGAAGAAAAGGCAAAGTTTGAATTTCAAAATTTGGAGGGGTTTGTCAAAACTTTGTTTCAAGAGTACGAGTCAAGTAATGCATCTAAAAAAAGGAAGAGTGAAGGTATTGTATTCTTCTTATTGTTTATATAATAAATAGAACATTATCTTCAATTATTAACATTTTTATACTAAACATTAGTTGTTTATGCTAGTTCAGTTCCTAGTTCATCTTCATTTGGTTCTAGTATCTCTTCCGGTCATCGTGTTGGATTCAAAAAGCTCTTATCGGATATTGCTTCTATTACTAGAGATGATGATGAATCAGGAGGTATGAGTGAGTTGGATAACTACTTGAAGGAAAAATTGTTGCCTAAAGACATGGAACTTGATTTGTTGGCATGGTGGAAAACAAATGGCATTAAGTACCTGGCACTACAAAGGATAGCTAAAGATATATTGGCTATTCCTGTTTCCACTGTTGCCTCGGAATCAGCTTTCAACACTAGTGGAAGATTAGTAAGTCCTCATCGTAGTCGACTTCATCCAAAGACATTGGAGGCTTTAATGTGTGCTTAAAGTTGGTTGTTGAATGAAATTTGAGGTAGTATACTATTTTATATTAATTATATGAAATTGTGAATCTCTTTTGCATATTAATAATATTAATTTTACACAGCAACTTGTTCTGAAGAGACCGAGGCATATTGTCGTTCTGTTGAATTTGATTATGATGTGGAAGAGGTAAAACGACAGTTATAAAAATATTAATTTTATATAGTTTCCATGATTTGGTTTGATTTTGAGTTTGTTTAATATTTTGTAGGAAAACACTAAAGAAAGCGGGACAACAAGTTTGGATGATTTTGTTTGATTTTGAGTTTGTAACTTTGTTTTAACGTTAAATGGTAACGTATTATTGTGATGAATTAGTTTTTCATGTTGTGTACTTGGGTGTTTTGGTTGGTTGGTTGATGTTACAATATTAGATTATTAGTAATTTCTATTTGGTTAAATGATTTAAGAACTTATTTGGTATTTTAAGCCTATGCATCGTCTTAATTTATCATTATGTATTTATAGTTTTTCCTTCTTTTTTTATGCCATATTTCGGGTTTTAGGGTCGGGTTTTCGGGTAATTATTGGATTTCAGGTTTAAGGTCGGGTTCGAGGAAAGTATCAGCCCTGACGGGGCGCCCCGATAAGAAACCCATCGGGTATCGGGTCAGGTTCGGGTACATATGTAGAATTCAAGTTCGGGTTTGGGAAACCATGCCCCGCCCCGAACCCGCTCCGTTGCCATTCCTACTTCAGATCTATAGTCCTGAAGGACTTTCATGGCATAAAGGTGCCAACTTTATGGCCATAGACGTCCCATGCAACCTTTAGACCACCATTTTGGCCTTTTGAGCTTATAATGGACATACATGTAGAGAAAGTTGGAGACTTTACGTGATCATCTAGTCTATAAGGTCCAGATCTATGTTCTTATGTCCTATCTTGAAGTTTGATGGCCTTTGGATTTAGATTTAAGCCTTTTGGGGCTTAGGGTTGACCTTAATCCCTTTAGGAGGGGTATTAATGCAACTTTACCCTTCTTGTGGCATTTTCAGTCTAGATCTGGTATATAGGGTTTAGATCTGAAGAATAATGGCTTAATGCCTTAATAAGGGTTAACAGACTGAAGAACTCGACGAGTTCATGGAGGGACTCGACTAGTTGATTTGAAGTGTCCCGATTCTATTTAAAAGAAATAACTCGACGAGTTGGGGGAAAACTCAACGAGATGATTTGAGATATCACGATTCTGTGATTTATGGAAACTCGCCGAGTTGAAGGATAACTCGATGAGTTAAGTCAACTCGGAAAGTTAACTTTGACTTTTACTTGGATGTTGACTTCGACCAAGGTTGACCCCTGGAGGGTTATGAAGTATGGAATGGTTCTAAGGGTTGTTCCATGTAAGGGTTTGGGCCCAATTTAGAAAATTGGTCAATTAATAAGCTTTTATGGAATTTATGGCTTTGGGCTTAGGCCTCGATTGTGAGTCTTGTTGGACTACGGGTGAAACAGTCATTTCACCCTAAGTAAGGATTATGGTCTGCGATTTGGAACCTAATTGCTAATTGGATGATATTTGGCATGGATAGCTCGGGGAGTTGGCAGGACTACAACTAAGGATTTCTTGTAGTGAACTTTAGTGTTGTGGTGGGTTTCCTCCTGTTTGAACGGGTCGAAGGCACCAATATTGGCCCATATTTATGATTGTATGTTTTCCGGACTATGGTTTGATGTTGGGCGGTGCTCGAGTAATATTTATATGTATGTTTCCGGACTACGGTTCGATGTTTGGTGGTGCCCCATGAATGCTTTTATATAATATATATATATATATATATATATATATATATATATATATTATATATATATATATATATATATATATATATATATATATATATATATATATATATATATATATTTCCAGATCATGGTTCAATATCGGTGGTGCCCGATGAATGTGTGCAGGTTTAGTTATAATTGTTGTCTGTATGTATGTGCCTGGTTAGGGAAGTGAGTGTGGGTGGGGTCACATATCTGACCACTAGCTGAGTATGGACGGGGTTCTATATCTCATCATTAGTAGAGTATGGGTAGTGCCCATGATAGGTAACGCCTTAGGACTGGAACATATGGTATTACGTATGTTTTATTTATGTGCTAGCATGATTATGTGATTTTGATTGTATATGTATAGCGCGTGAGGCCCAGTGACAGGCAGGGATTAGGATAAACAGATCTGTATACCGAGCGGGGCTTAATGCCAGGTGGGGCCTGATGTCGGGTGGGGCCCGATGAAGGGCCGGAGGCCCAGTATATGTGATTATATGCATGGTATGTGGTAGTATGGGGAACTCATTAAGCTTCGTGCTTATGGTTTTCAGTTTTGGTTTCAGGTACTTCTGGTAGCAAAGGGAAGAGCTCGGGATGACTGCATTGCACACACCATGATGTTTACCCTGGGATGTTTACTCTGATATATTTGACATATGTTTTGATATGGATATACTGTTTATGATGTTTTGAGATACTATGACTTATGTTTTGATGTGATGATTTTAATAACTATGGTTTGTTTATGATTTAAAATTGAAATTTTTGGGACCATATTTTACGGATGTTACAAGTTGGTATCAGAGCATTGGTTTGAGGGATTCGAGCACACTCTCGGGTGTGTCTGAACTCAAACTAAGGACTTGCCGAGCTCAAGTAAGTTCTATAAAATTACCCATATACGTTTATGTTATGATATGAAATGTGAATATGTGAACTGCATGTTAGATTAGGGCTAAGGATCTAGGAAGGATGCCTTGTATGCCTACTGTATAAGCCTATTGACCTGCATGCTAGTACTGATTCGTCAATGATATGATGACCTGATTAGGATATGTTTGGTTTTGTTACCTGATGCCCAAATGTTGCTTGCTTTGAGCTTTTAGGAAGTTCTAGTTATCTTTAACTAACTTGTAAATAAATATATTAAGTTACATATTACGAGGACTAAATAATTTCAGAAGGTTAGGTTTAGCCCTATTTCGCAGCTGTTATCTATGTCTAACCGTTGTAGTGAGAGACCACTCATTCAAAGAACTATCTAGTCTTAGTAATATGTAATTATATTCACAAGCTACTTAGGAAAAGGTAGCAGGGACTTCTTATTAAGCTGATGGGAGAGAGTGGTTTGGAGATTACCCTAAGGTAAGCCTAGGATGATATTAGCGCTGGGAGCAGTAGTTGTGAAAGGGACTTCGTGGAGTCAAGGAAATTCTTGAGGAAAGTACAGATAGATGTGCAAGGTAGTATGGGCCCGTACTACTAAAAGTAGAGGATTCGTACTCAATTCAAGGAGGGATGAGATGAAACAAAGGAACTTGCTTGTAGTGTGTGTGATCCATCTAGTTATGATGAGTATTTTGATGATGGTTATGGTGTATTTTCTGTATGGCGATGCTACGTAGTAGACCAGTTGGCAGTTTTGTGTCGGTAAGGGATCATGCTTGGGGTCTGGGGTCAGGCAGCTCGATGATCAGATGAGGGAGTTCATTTCATCTGAGATTACGCGCAGTATCATTGACCATACTCTTATGATCTTCGGTACGATCAAGGAGGGCATTTTAGAGATTCTTGATGAGAGGTTGAGCGCGTTCCGTACTGAGATGGCATCTATGATGGGGACGCATACATTAACATTCCGGGATTTTAGAGCTTGTGGAGCTCCAGACTATCATGGGGATAAGGACCCCATTGCTAGTAGTCGGTGGTTAGCACATGTCGCCAACACTTTTCATACCAGCTATTATCCCAAGGGGGACAAGGCCTGACTTGCTTCCTGTCTGCTAAAGGACAGGATGCAGAATTGATGGGAGGAGGTCGGGCATGCTATTTGAGATGATGCCACTATTGATGCGATAAGTTGGAGTGATTGCTCGACCAGGTTTAGGGTCGAGTCAGTACCCGTGATCTAGGTGCAGCAGCTGGCACGGGAGTTCCAGGACCTCCAGCAGACTACAGAGACGGTGGCTGAGATTACCACTATGTTTAGGGAGAGGGGGCTTCTTGTTCCGCAGTATGTGGCGGATGAGGAAATGAAGAAGGCCCGGTATCACGAGATTTTGAGGAGCGACATCAGGCAGTTTATGAGTTGGTCCAGTTGCAGGATGCTGGAGGATATGATCGCTCGATCCAGGGAGAGGGAGATCGACTTGGAGGCAGAGAGGGAGATAAAGCCAGACGAGGTTCAGATATTTGTGGGGTCGGGAAAGAGGCCCAATGTATCAAACTCTAAAGTGAGGAGTCATCACGACCGTAGCCTCTGTGGAAAGTGCGGTAGGACACACGAGGGTATGTGTAGGAGTGGTAGTGGTGGTAATTCTGGCTGCTTCAAGTGCATACGGATCGGTCATTATAGCAAGGATTGTAATGCTACCACCACCCAGGGATCATACTAGATCTACTTTCATTACAGTCAATGGGGCCATAATAAGGCCAAATGTACAAGTTTGGCTGCAGTGCGACAGGTGATGGAACCTGCCTCTGCGAAATTAAGGATCACTGACAGCCGTCAGGGCCGGGGCAGAGGCACCTGCAGCGAGGAGCAGGGCTTTCCATCTGAATACAAAGGAGGCACGAGCGGCTTCTGGTATTGTAGGTGTGTATCTTTTGCTTTCGTATCACTTGTTATTTATGATTTTATTTCTATTGTCTTGCATCGGTATGAGTAAGTGTATCTTAGGGTTATATTTGCTGCTTATGTTCGGGTTATATGCCATCTGCATACCATGAATCATAGAGTAGTAGTTCGAGGTCGTCCCCTAATATAGTGGGTGCTTAGGATGCGGTAGCTAAAGTATGTGTGATTGGAACACGGGAAGTGTTCCACCAGTCTTCAAGAGTTGTGTTGTTTTAGTACTGGTTAGATTTAGAACACTAGTATTAGGGAGCATTGATTGTCAGCAACTCAATCGTTGGAAGTTTAAAAGGATTGTGAATCCTCCAAATTATGTGTTCCATGAAGATTTAGTCGAATCCAAATGGGAGAGAACTGTTCGAGTATTCAGGATAGAAGTGGGTGCGAAACTAGGATGAATCCCACATACTCCATCAAGGGAAGCAGGATGACCAAGTGGACGTCTAAAGAGCGGATTGCGTGAGTTGGAAGTTAGGGAAACTTCCCAACATGGGGATCATATCTCCTTGGTGTTTGGTAGTAGTTGTTGGGGAACCAGGTTGGGGTTTCCAGACAGGATGCGAGTTCAGTTCGAAAGATAGACCACGTGCATGCTCGACCTTGATATGTGTTCGGATTGGTAGATTAGCAGTAAGGCCATGGGCATTGGTTGAGATAGTAGGGGAGAGTATCATACGACTGCGGGGCAGTCGTAGCATTCTCTAGGCGGCCAGATAGTGGGGGAAAGTGTTGTAAAACTGCGGGAAGACCCATAACATTCACAGATTGT